TTTTTCACTTTAAACATTTTCTGTTTTTGTTGTTTGGTTGGACTTCACTTTAAATATTTTTATTCTCTACCTCAAATTAATACCCATTAAAATGTGCCACATCACCATTTAGTTTTAAAAAACATTAAGACTTGGGAGAAACAAGAATTTGATGTTTATTCAAATGCCCCATACACAAAATCAAAATGTTTCAATTTTTACTATTTATTTGATAAATGATGAAACCAAACAGTTGTTTTATTTTGCTTCATATATACAATAAATAGCAACGCTTATATGACGCTAATTTAACACCATTTTTTAAATAAATGCCAAGAGAACCAAATACACTCGAAGTGTGATAAGCCAAAGTATTTGCAACTGCAACGTGTATGTGGTTAGGGGTGTACAGTTGGGGGGCTGACCTTGGAGAGAGAGGGACCTTGTCCTGGAATAGGTACGTCACCCACGCGTGCACTGATCAAAACCTCGGTCCACCTGTCATGCCTATGGCCGACATGTTATTTACACATGGTCAGCCATGGACCCATTTCGAATGTGCTGGCACTAACAATATGATCAGCTCGGCCATGTATATTATGAGACGGCCTTGGCTCTGCATGTGGCATCTGGTCTCCTAATAGTGTGCCTCCAGCTGGATGCTTGCGTGTTACATCCTTGGTCAATCAAATGAACACGTGTTGTGGGCTTGTGTACACATGTCAGCTCATCCAGAAAGGATGCCACATGCTGTCCAAGTCTGGTGGGGTACGAGGTTGTACAGTTGTACTCTAAGGTGAGTCGACTTGACCAATTCTGATTGCATCATCAGTAAGGCATTTATATTTGTAGGCGTTTAACTTATCTCATATCCACTTCAGTAGTTAGTAGTACACCTGCATTGAGAGCTTTGCCATGGCAAGTTCGTGTTGCAATTACTAGAAATCCCAAGATTAACACAGCCACTACTACACAAGAACAATCCTTCATGCATTTCTATTTTTTTTTAAGCCCCGAACTTTACTCTATCTGGAAGAATAGGGACCATCATAAATTTTATTAAATATCAAAAGAAACCTATGAGAGAGGATCTTAAAACCCATTAAGAAAACGACCCTCCATCTGATCCTTAGTTATGATTTATGAGTGGGTGTGAAGGAGATATGATTGTTTGGACATGTTTGGGAGTTCTTAAAAATAATTGCTTATTTAGATTATTAAATACTTATTGGTATTTGGGAAATAAATCTGAAATAAATGTTTATTTTAAAAATAAAGATTTATTTTTTAAGCTCAAATTTCCAGTTTTTTTTAAGTGTATACAATAAGCACTTGTTCGATTTTTTTTCTTTCAAAATTATTCCTAGGTGAATTTTAAAATACCACTTATAAAATTATCCCTAGTTAAATTTTATAAAAATACTTTTATGAAAGCATTTTTATGAAACTATTTTTATAAAAGTACTTTTATGCAAGCACTTTATATAAAGGTACTTCTATGAAAGCATTTTTATATAAAAGTACTTTTACAAAATCACTTCTACGAAAGCACTTTTATGAAAGCACTTTTGTGAAACACTTTTATGAAAGCACTTTGTGAAAGTCTTTTACAAAAGTACTTTTATGACATTGCTTTTGTAAGGATACTTTCTTAAAAGTGCTTTCTTAAAAGTACTTTTATAAAAGTGTTCTTATAAAAGTACTTTCACAAAAGTGTTTTTATAAAAGTGCTTTCAAAGGGTATATTTTGAAAATTTGAAAGAAAATGAATGACAAAATAGTCACAAATGTTTATTTAAGTGCTTATTAGAGAAAAAAACTCCCAAACACCCAATACAAAATAAGTGCTTATTTTAAAAAATAAGCACTTGGAAAAGTTTGGTGCCAAATGCAAATAAGTGCTTATTCGAATAAGCATTTATTTTTAACTTACACACTCCCAAACATGGCCTTAGAGGCATTCATGATTTAGTAACCAAATCGTGGACCTATTTCTAAATTGAACTGGTATTATCGGTTTTAGAAAACTATGAATTGAAATTGAACCAAAACCAATCAGTTAACTGATTGATTGATTGATTGATTTGGTTTTTAACCGATGCAATTTTTGGCTTTTTTTCAGTTTGTTGATATTTATAATATATATTATATATAAATATTAAAAATATATAATATATTATATATTTTAAATATATATAGAGAGAGAGAGAGACACCAGTAAATTCGATTAATTAATTGCAATTTTTCTTATTGATTAACCAAAACCAAACTAGCACATTTGATTCGAGTAATGACTCAATGTTCACAAGGTTTGGTTGTGAACATTAACCATTTTCAAAAACCAAAACCGGCCTAACATTAACCAATTGTAGGATGACAATTTTCCCCATTTTCCCAATTGCCATGAGGACCCACCTCAAATAGGGTGAGGATGGGGATGATTTTCCCCCTATGGAAAAAGTGATGGGGAAATTTCCATATGTATATATATATATATATATATATATGTATATTAATACTTTCAAAAATATGGTTAAATATGTTTAAATATATTTATATCTTTTTTAATAGGATTGTAAATTTTAATTATTTAAATAAAATAAAAAACAAAAATAAAATAATTAACATCATAAAAAATACGGAGAGCGGGAAATGGGAAAAACCTTATCCCCACTTGCGGGGACAAAGACAAAAACGGAAATAGGGATTTTCACAGGAACAGGGACGAGAGTGGCTCCCCGTCCCCACCCCGCCTCGTTGCCATACCTAACCGATTTTCTTCGGTTCAAATTTGCACTACAGACCAAAAGAGCGGTGCATAGCCGGTGGTCCTTACCATAAGCCTATATAAGAACGGGAGGAAAATAGAAATTAATATATTACATTGTCAACATTCTCGGCGAAATCCGGAGAAAAATTGAAGCCATGAAGTTGACGTATAGTTAAAAGGTGAGAAGAAGGGTTTAGATAGAGTTTGACATAAGTGAAGCCACAAACACAAAAACATGGCGTCACATGGGAGAAGGATAAAGTCGAGCAGGGTGAAGATAGAATGTAACCTAACCTACCCTCTTCAACCTTTCAAGATATAATAGTATTCGCTTGTCCAAATTCAATATTATATCAAATATGGATCTGTTGAGTTGTGTCTTGAATTTCTTTATCGTAGTGTAGTCCATTCTATGACCTGATCAATCTTGTGGAAAAGAATTAATCAAAAGGAAATTCTGTGGTGGATGTGGACTAGTATTCTATTTGTGGGTCCAAACCAAATATGTTATGTTGTGGGGTTTTCTCAAATATGTATCTCATTGTATGGTATCAGTGAAGAAAATGCAGTGGGTGCATTAGGGTTTTTATTTGGGGTCACAAGAGAGTTCATAGTAGATTTGAACTCCATTTTTTTCATTATATGGGACGAAAGCCAACTTAATTACCAAATTTATTGGAGGTATGATTTCTCTAAGATCGCAGCAGCTGTTTCCTTATTGTTCTTTGACAAAAGGCTCAATGTGCTGATATTATCAGTATATGAAGGTTCCAGGAAGGATAATTTAGGGTAAAATATAAAAACCTCTCCCAAGGTTTTTAACAATCATAAAAAAACTCCCCTCAGGCTTCACTTCACAAAAACTTCGCCTGAAGTATTTAAAAGCCGGATGGAAAATGTTGGCCTAATGCGCTAGTTTTTCAAAAGTACCCATTTTTACTCTTATATTTATCAATGAAAATTAATTAAAATACCCCTAAAAGAATTTTTCACTTTTAATTTAAAAAACCCGAGTTAGATTGAAAAGAATATATAAATTAACTTTACTTTATAAAAACATCAAGTCTAGTGAAGTTTAGGCTGCATTTAGAAACGATGCAAATGGATTATAATTAAATTCCGGTTCAGGGTATGTTTGCACTCTGGTTCACTTTTGTCTGTGTTTGGCAACATTACATAATTACATTGATAATAAGATGTAAAAGTACATCAATAAAAAAGAAGTAAATTTGCATTCAATTTGACTTTTGATAAAAAAAAAAAGCATATGCTTTATTGGAATTCATGTTTGCATCCATTACAACTAAAAGTCTATTTGATAAGAAGGTAAATTTGTCAGTGTAAAATTAACCCAATTTTGTAATTTATATGAACCGTTTTACACTCTACATATTTGCATTCACACTTATTTGCATTGTTTCCAAACGCAACCTTAGAAGGAAAATTAGTTTTTATATTTTGAATTATATTAAAAAATGCCCTACTAGGTTGTAAGAATTATTCGTTACCTTTGAAGTCTTCATTACTGGAAAAAAGATGGAAAGAAGGTAAGTGCAGGTTTTTGTTGTCAAAATATAGGGAAGGTCCCTGTGAAAGTAAAACATAAGGGAGGTTTTTATCATTGTCAGAAACTTGAGGGAGGTTTTGATGTTTTACCTTATAATTTAATAAGTATTAGTAAATTAATCTGTTTAAAAGTTTCAATTACAAAACTTTGACATAATGGATGACTGACTGTATGTGAACAGTACTGAACCTTATCAGCATAAATAATAAAGTAATTAATTAGTGGGTCAATCATAAATCAAATCCTACCAAACCAGACACACGCGGCGAAACTGCTAAGCAACACCCTGTCCCTATTACTGAAGTGTTGTATATGCATCTCGCTCTCTCTCATACACGCCCAGCTACTGTTTTTTTGTTTAAGAATAATGCAAATCAAAAGTAAAACAAACTTCAGTAATAGAAAATCGTATATTCATTGTAATACAAGTAGAGCACTGAGTAATGCTTTTCTCGTACAAACAAAGCAAACTACACCGAGTACGTACAAAAGTTCATATAAACTACACTGAGTAACCAGCTAGTTTGCTTATTGAAGGCTGAAGCATCACTAACAAAAATGCAAAGAAACCAGTACGTAGCAGCAGCCAGCAGCACCCCTGCTTATTTATAGCCATCTATCTATGTATGATGTATCCATATATATATTATCAAGGAACTCACTAGCTAGCTAGCTTACTGATCATCAGTTGGGGTGGATAGGGGATGGAGGCTTGTAATGAGGACTAGGCGGCTTCTCGACGGGAGGGTGACCATAGGAAGGTGGCTTGTGCTCTGGAGGTGGTTTCTCTACTTTTGGAGGCTTGTAAACAGGAGTTGGTGGTTTGTGTTCCGGTGGGGGTTTCTCTACGGGAGGTGGCTTGGAGACATGGGCCGGAGGCTTGTATCCTGCCGCTGGTGGCTTGTGCTCCGGTGGTGGCTTTTCACCCTTACCCTTGGGTTGAGGTTTGTAAACTGGGGTTGGTGGCTTCTCCACGGGAGGAGGCTTATAAACATGTGTAGGAGGCTTGTGTTCTGCCGGTGGCTTCTCAACCTTGGGAGCTTTGTACACTGGAGTGGGTGGCTTCTCGTATGTAGGGGGAGGCTTGGGATAGCCAGCCAAGGAAGGAGTGGTGAGAAGCACCACTCCGAGCAGAAGCACTAGTAGCAGATGTGTGAGGGTGAGGGAGGACATCTTTGAGAATGGGATCTGATCTCTGGTGCTGAAACTAGGACAAGGTGGTGGGCTTTTATAATGGGTATGGGCCTATGCCAGATAGCCACGTGTCAACCACATATATATATATATATATTTGAAAGCTAGGAGGGATTCATTTTTCCTGTGGTTCAGATTTTCATAAACCTTTATGGGGTCCATTTGGGTCCCACGGTTTGAAAGTTGGGCCAATCCGGCCCACTTCAAGCGTGTGAAAGCAAAAAGGGCAGTTGGATTAAGGTCAGCCCTCTTTTGGCCTTTTGCTTTCTCTGCTGTCGGCTGGCTTTTTGGGGTTATATGAGATTTGGGTTGATAAATGGCAGAACCAGCACCTTGTAACGTGGCACTTTTTTTTCTTCAATTTCTACTAGAATGCATGTGAAAGAAAGAAAACTCTAGAGATAAATTTATTAAACGCGTAGCCAAAGCTAGTGAAAAGGACCCGGCAGCCATCCCCGGAAATCAGAAATCTAGTGCAGTTGTTAATATCAGAGCGCAGAATCATGCATGCATCATCCTACATATTTGACAAAAAAATCTCTTCTTGATCACTGGTTTGTTCAGTCATTTAACATCAGCACCACTTTGGGTCTAATTAGGTTCACTAATTAGGGTGATTTAGGTGTGGAGTGGTAGACCAACTTCAAATTAATTTTATAACTGTTGCTTGATCTTCAAATATTTTACTCTTCAAAATTCATTCATTCATTCAAATGTGGACTAGTTTTGATTAAATGAAACATTGATAATCAGCAGTCGCTTCTTTGTATTTACACTATAGTTTTACCTATATAATATCTATATAAAATGCGACACGCCCAAAGCAACCCCATTTATGAAAAACACAAAAAAAAAAAAGAAATCCATTCAGTAAGACCCTTTCTTATCCAAATTTAATCATCTGAACTGGGTTCCAGCTTATCTAATTAAAAGGTTTCACTGCAAAATATAAAACAAATTAAATTGGATTCTATTTAGGTATATATTGAGGGGAAATGATTTAATTTTCACTTTTGTTAGTATGGAATGGTTGTATACAAAATACCATGGGGATCATTCTTTCCAATGAGCTAGCTCATGTTGAAATCAGGGAAATAATGCTATTGAGTGGAAGTCACACATTTCCTTTAATCAATATAGCTAATATTGTCACAGCCACCGCTTGAAAATTGATAAAAAGTAGGCAATTTACGTACTGAGCATCATTAAAATCATAATTCAATTATTTCTTGCCTGAATCCTTAAATTTTGGTTCTGGGGATTAGTTCAGAATGCATTTAGTTGATAAAGCACCCTTTTGTTTGCAGCAACAGATAAACCATTAACATATCAACTTTTGCATGAAAATATCCCTGCATAATCAAGCATAATCTTCTTGACTAATTCGTTTTGTGTTTAGAACTCAAGGACTTATGCCCAACTGCAATCAACCAACAGGAATCTCTCCACTACTTAAACAACACAGTATCCCCTGTTTGATTAGCTTAAACGAACTCCAGCGCGCACTTCATTCACTGCTTATTCTGCATTTAAAGATCAACTGTTTCCTAATTGGATAGACCCCTTGACTAGTTAAACATTAACATGTCTATGAAGCGCTATACAATGAGAGAAACTAACAGGACACAAACTGAGTAGAGTCTAATGGGATGATTTATCTTGACATGTTTCTGCAAGCCAGTGGTATAAATGCTGCTGATGGATCAAACAAGTTTGACAGTTCCTGCAATGGCAACATCTTACAGGCACACACCCTGTGAAACCATACTGGAAATAACATGAAAATTTCAAACCTAGCAGACTTGCTTATTCTGGGAACCACTAACAACCTAAAGAACACCTAATCAAATGCAACCTCTTATTTTATAATTTCTCATCTATCCATAATCCATACTCGTATCAACCAAATTGATGTTGATGGATGGCTGAAGTAGATAAGTGCAGTTTCTTGTGAACTGGCCTCTCATATGGTACAAGTAGTGGTCTCATCATTTGCAGTGGCTTGCTTTTGAGCATGTATTTCACATCCTTCATATGAGGATTACCAGGGTGGTGACCATGAAATGGTGGCTTCTGCGGCTTCTCTACTTTAGGAGGTTTGCTCTCAGAGATCGATGGCCTGTGTGCGGTTAGCTTGGGCACAGGAATTGATTGATTGTGCCAGTCGATGGCACCCTGCAGTTTTCCTGGATGGTGGCCATGATGCAGAGGCTTTTCAACCGGAGGCAGCTTTTTCTTATGCAGTGGCTTCTCAATTAAAAGTACCTGCTTCATCTTCAATGGTGGCTTGTGAACTGAATCGGGCAGTTTCTCCTCTGGAGGTTGATGACTAGCCTCAGAGAGAGTGGCAGTTAGGGAAGCAGTTAGAATCATCACTCCAAGAAGCAACATTATAAAGTGCGTAAGGATAGCCATGTTTGAATTTACTAGAACTAGAAGAGAATGGCTTCTGGTATTTTATAAGGGAGTTGCAACTATGTACGTTGAAGGGGCTGCAGTGGAGAGGCCCCATAAACATGACATAAGTCAAGCTTGGGAGTAGGTTAGAAGAACACTATGTGTGAATGCAGGCATGTACCAAAAGCATGGACCAGTTTCAATTAGAGACCTGAGTTTTGGAGGGAATCAGGAAGAAAAATGTGATAACAGTTCATTTTGGCCTCTTTCTTTTCTAGAGCTTACGCCTAACCAAACATGTTGGAAGGATGGGATGGGGCATAGTTTTGAAACAGCAAAACCATCCAAATTGAGTGACCTAACTCATTTCTATTCTACTTGCTAAATGTACAGCTAATTGCAGGCATTGAAAGAATTTTCCACTTCGGGGGCAGGATAAACATTAAAAATTCAGACTGTTACTTCTGATGGGCATCCCTTGCCCTTGTGTTTACAAATGCCAAATCACATATCTAGGCAACAATGAGACAAGGAATTACAGCATCATTTGACAATTCAAAATCAGGCTAGAGCCCTGCAGACCTACCCTTCATCAAAGAATCTGTGCTCATCATTTCAATTAACTGATACAAACAAAAATCAAACTCTTGAAGAGTCCTGAGACAATCAGTTTAACACATTTTACAAATAGTGAGGAAATATGAACAAGTTAGATAATTTAGAACTCCATCTCCAATTAATCAAAGAATCTGCAGCAGTTGAGGGTCATTTCAGACACATCTACAACATACAAATTGTACCAACCAAGCACTATTCTCACTGTGCGTTTGGAGTTGGAGTTGTTTTCAGTTTTCTCTCCCAAAGGTAGGGACTGATGTCTAGGCTTTTTAAAGGTCATACTTGTACTGGACTCACCCCTCTTTTTGCTGCAGAAAATATCTGAAAATACATGCAATCAGTCAGAAAGCAAACTTTAACTCATAAAAGTAACCAGCATTCTGATAAGAGAAAATAAAAATCTGAAACATGGCCAGATACATGTTCCCCAACTCAGTTAACCTGACACATTCTGAATTCATCCACAATATGCTTCAGGAAATTTCATATGGATATATACAGTGGTCAAACATTGCATATGCATTATCAAACCACAAATTTGCACTAAATTATCAAATTGAACGCCTCTGTTAGATGACCATGGCTATAGATACAAAAGAAAAACAGAATGTACTCTCTCTTTTGGAATAGTTATGAAATTGACAAAGTGTTAGGAAGCAAAATGTTGGAGAATGAAGATGATAATGTTTCCATCACATAAATGTGGCACAAAGGAGCAGTCCTGAGATGGGTAGAAGCAAAGACTAGGATGGGTAAAACTGAACACATTCAAGGAAGCAGTCTATGAAGCAAATGTTGGAAATTAAGAAATGGCATGTTCATCAAAAGCCAAAATGAAGATCTTCCAATTGAGAGGAGAAAAGACTAGGACGGATAAAATTGAGTGTATCAAAGGGGCAATGAATTTGTCACGAGCTTACATCCACAATTTATTTTAAGGGTTATTACTTCATTTCATGCATGGCCATTGCATGTATCTTGTTTTCTGCTAGCCCCTTGAATCTGATTATATAATCCAATATCATTTTCTGTGTTCCCTCTCTTTTTCTTTTTCTTTTTTTATCGACCGTTTGCTATCATGCTGATCCATTGACTAATGCCTGTTGTAATTATATTTAGATTCAAGAAAACTCAACATATAGACATGAAATAGATAATGATATCAAAAGGTATGGATTTGCATGGCCTTTCTGTACATAGAACAGGTTGTCTGATGTAGTTATTGTTGTTGTCTTGGTCCTGTTAACTTTTGTCCTTTGTATCTCTTCTTTTTTTTTTTTTTGATAAATATTTGTATCTCTTCTCTTTGACATAAACACATTTGTGTGTCTATGCGTGTAGATAGATCGATATGGATAAATACATCATCCATAACTTAAATTTCTAACAGAAAAATGCATGGATTTCCAACTACAGAAATCACTCAACAGAGATAGGTGAAAACCTTAGGACGAGCTTGACTAAAGCTAATACTATTTCTGTAACACCTCTGTGAATGCTATATTCTTCGTAAGTTTGTGGCAAAAAGCCCTTACAAGATTCACCTAAATTACCAGATGGACTACCCTCCTGTTCTATAATTTGGTTCTTTGATTTACTTCTTGTGGAATAAGGTATATCTTTTTCCAGGGCTATATTTGTTGGAGATTTCTGATCCTTCTTTGAGAACAGCAGAGCTGAAGATCGTGCACCAGCTATGGCCACGGTGAGACTTGGTGATTTCTCTTCAGATGACTTAGAGCCAGTAAAGGAAAGGGCAAGTGATCCTGGATTCAGGGAGAAAGGATCTCGGGGATCTGGAAGTGGAAACCTTACTGGTAGCAGACCTTCAACTGGACAAAGACCTCGGACTGCTGCCTCATAAATCTGGAACAACTGAGAAAGTGAGAAGTGGGGAAAAAGAGTTGTTTCATGTTTTACACAGCATATAAAAGAGGGTTCATTTACCTTTTTTTCCAAGTTATAAACACCTTGATACCCTCTCATCTCAAATGGAATTACTAGTTTCTGCATATGATTGAAAGAAATGATTCAACAAATCAAGAACAGATATGCAAAAAGAAAGAAGTATTAAATTCTTCCTCTAAGAGCAACTGCAAGGTTCTGGTTGTATGAGAATTTACCTCTGGATTTTCACACAACCAGCAGAAGTCTGTTTGTCCTTCTAGCCTCACCTCTAAACAACAGCTCAATATTAAGGCAAGGAAATATCATATCATGTTTTATTATTGGCATCGTTTAATTTTATAAATTCAAAAGGAAAAAAGGAGAAAGTAAAGTATGGTGCTTACTCCTTCAGGCAGCTCCTCCCAGCATACCAGTTCTTCACATTTAACACAACACAACCTGTTACAAGCACAAGTAGATCAGAAGATTTGAAGGAATGTTAGATGTTCCTATAGCATATTTGAACCCAGAGTTCATTCCAATGTTTAGAACATTAAAATACCAAAATAACAATTATAGAAATTTCAGCATACGGTATAGAAAAGTAATTAAAACACATATTTAAGTAATGTTTATCACTAGTTTCTCAGGGACAAAACGAGAACAAAGGCATGGTTATTTTGAAAACAGGTCAATAACAAAAAGTGGGCTGAAATAATGCATGTTTCCTCTTCTCAAGATAAACATATCATCTTCTGCATCAGATGCATTAATAAGAGAGCTTAAATAGTGCTGATTTATTTGATTTAGGATACCAGAAGGTTAAGAATCCTCCTTTGAAATGGGAACAGAGTACACCAAGAACAATACACAACCACAAACTATCTATATCCTATGTATTTAATCATGAATGGCCTTGTAAATCAACTTGGTGGAGTACACAGATGATGGTAGTTCTAGCTTGTCTAACATACACTTTTTCTTTTTTGAAACCAAGCACAGAATATCCCAGAATGGCAAAAATACTGACATAAACCTGCTTATTGTTTCTTACAACAAAACAAAATAAAAAATGCAACTAAGACATCACTTGAAAAAGAGTAAATACAAAAAGATATGATTTTCAAAAGTTCGATGAAAAATGGGTGCAAACTGGGTACCCAATTTCAAGAATTCCAACTGTGGGCCCAGATGTTAACCTAGGCCCACACAGGTTGCACCTCTAGATAAAAAAGGTCATATACCTAGAAGTCCTAGAAGTCAGGAAACTGGATAATGTTCTGGAAACTTCAGTTCAGTTATTCCATTCACAGCATAGATCTCCCTGTAGAAGTCCTCTATTGCTTTAATTGTAGCTGGATCTGGCACCTTACTAGCAGCATGAATCCAAAGTCAGCCTTCAAGACAAGATATTGTATATTCAGTAGCAGCAATACAAAAAGGGTTAAAAAAATCTTGACTCTTTCACAAACAAAAGTACTCAAGTGCAATTAAAGTACAAAATCCTAAAAAACTCTTAGCAATATGGGTGAATAATAGAGAAAACGATGACATGAGGGATTTTTTGTTCATATCATCGGTCTTTAGATGCTGATGTAGGAAGGAGCAGGGGTCCTACTAATTTAGGATCTGGTGGTGGCCTTTGTGGGGTGAATGAAGGGCTGTGGGTGATTAGAAATGAAAAAAAGTAGAGATCTTGTTGTGCATCAAAGAATAAGTAAGAAATTAGAAGAAAGAGGGGAACTCTTGCTGTTAGGGTAAATAGAAAAGAAACAGATTGCTTAAAAGAAGAAATAAGAGAGAGAAAGAGAGAGAACTTCTGGCAACAACCAGAATTCACTAATCCAAACATTCTTTCATCACATCACTCCTCTTTTTACAATTACAATGGCTCTCTTATAAACTCAATACATGAACTCAGATCACCCTTTACAACTCCAATTTGGACTAGGAAACTGTTATGCACGCATTCCTCGGGAAGACGTACCGTCGCCGCCGGCAGCAACAGGAACCTGACCCACCACCAGCAGCAGCAGTGATTCAATGATTCTCATCCTACCCAGTTCGGCAACAGCAGCCTTATCTAGATTAGATTAGATCATCTTGCTTGTTCTTATCTTATCTTGTTAGTAGACTATCAGATTAGGATTAGCTTATCTTATCCTTAGCAAGATAGAACTGGAAGTCTCCCTATTCAGCAAGGAGACTCCCTAGATTAGGACTCTTGTAATCTCCTATTTAAGGAGACACCATTATTGAATGAGGATATTGAATATTCAGTTAAAGAAGTAAGTTAGGAGAGTTGGTGATCTCTTGAACAAATCACCAAAGGCGCCAAGATAGGTTCATCAAGAGTAGGAAGGAACAAGGGAAAACAGGAGGTTTTCCCCGTGGACCGACCCGTGACGAGATCCTATTCCCGGGCCCTCAACAACTTGGTATCAGAGCAAGGTGTCATGGGAGATCTGGAGCAGCTACCATCCACGACCTCGAGCACCAACTCGTGGAGACCAGCTCCGAAGTCCGTGAAATCAAAGACGAAGTGAGGGAGCTGCGACGTCTGATGGAGCTATTCCTTTCTAGCAGGGAAGGGAACTCTGAAGGAGGGACAGCCACTAACGGCCGCCGACCAGATCTGCCCGAGTCTTCCGGCGAACAGCAGTCCGTTAGCCAAGGAGCCGCAGTCATCCCCAAGTACAGCAGGTTGGAATTCCCGTCGTACAACGGCAATGGAGACCCCTTAGGCTGGCTGTATCGCTGCGAGCAGTTTTTTCGGAATCAACGGACAGATGACCGGGATAAGACCGGCACAGTGGCTGAATACCGGCGACAGTTCCAAACCCTCCTCGCGAGGGCGTCCTCCGTGCGACCCGACCAGCAAGTGGATATGTTCACGGCAGGGCTAGCAGAACCTCTGCGGGTGGATGTCGAGATGCAGAATCCCCCAAATTTGGTCACAGCCATGAACTTAGCCCGCGGGTTCGAGTGCAAGCTGCAGCTCAGTCGCGGAACTTTTAATGTGGGTCTTCCACCAAACTCATGGGTACCCCCAAGATCAGCAACAACGACCCCCTCTTCTTCTACCAGCCGGGAACTGAAATCTCACACAACCACCACCTCTAGACCAATGACAAGTACAGGTAGTAACATGGCTGCTCCACCCATTAAGCGTTTGACCAGGGCAGAAATGGCAGAACGCCGAGCAAGAGGCCAATGTTTCAACTGTGATGACCTCTACTTGGCAAGACATAGATGCAAGAGGCTTTTTTGCCTCCTCATCGATGAACAAGATGAGGATGGAGAAGAACCCATCATATCCATGCAATCACCGGTATTAAAACCTCTCAGACCATGCAGTTACAGGCACAGATAGCAGGTCAACCGGTGTGCATTCTCGTCGATTCAGGGAGCACACACAACTTCATAAGTAAACATGTCACCTTTCAGTTGAAACTACCAATGGAACTCCGGCCGCGACTACAGGTAGCCGTCGCAAATGGTGAGAGAGTTCACAGTCTAGGAATTTGTAAGGACATGCCGATACAGGTCAATTCTGAACTGTTTCTTGCTGGTCAGTCAATGGAGGAGGAACTTTCTGCTCTTCAACATACTCAAACGTGGGAACTTACTACTCTCCCACCTGGTAAGCATGTTGTGGGCTGTAAATGGGTGTATACTGTGAAACACTTGCCAGATGGTAGTGTAGAGCGTCTGAAGGCCAGACTTGTTGCTAAAGGTTACTCACAGTTGTATGGAGTGAACTACATGGAGACATTCTCTCCGGTGGCTAAGATTGGTTTTGTTCGTGTACTAATTTCCCTGGCAGTTATGTATGATTGGCCTCTGTTTCAGCTTGACATAAAAAAATGCCTTCCTCCATGGTGATCTGGTGGAAGAGGTATATATGGAGCAACCACCTGGGTTTGTTGCTCAGGGGGAGGATGGTAAGGTGTGCAGACTGAAGAAGGCAATTTATGGGTTGAAGCAATCACCACGTGCTTGGTTCGGGAAATTCAGCAAAGTGGTGAAGAGTTTTGGAATGAAGCAATGCCAGGTTAATCACTCTGTGTTCAGCTATGACTCAGAAGTTGGGAAGATCTTATTGGTGGTCTATGTGGATGATATTGTCATCACTGGCAGTGATAAATTGGGGATTGACAAACTAAAGGTATTTCTGCAAAATCATTTTCAAACAAAAGACCTTGGAACATTAAAATATTTCTTGGGAATAGAAGCTGTGTTGAGGGCCCGGGAATAGGATCTCGTCACGGGTCGGTCCACGGGGAAAACCTCCTGTTTTCCCTTGTTCCTTCCTGCTCGTGATGAACCTATCTTGGCACCTTCGGTGATTTGTCCAA